ACCCGGCTCCCCGCCGGGCAGAGCCTCCTGCTGTCCAACGGCCCCTCGGCTCCCAGGGAAGGAGCCTCTGGGGCGTCCGTAAAGGGCAGGTGTCCCCCAGCACAAACCCATGCGCGGGGCGGCCGTGCCGGGCCGGCTGCGGGATACAGGCCCCTCTGGGTTAGGTTTGGGTGCACGGCCACCCTGTGCGCGTAAACCCAGGTAACAGTGTGACGGGAGCGTCAGTCGGACGCCACAGGCAGCTCCGTATAAGCGAGGAAACGGGGTGGTATCGCATGACCAGCAAACTGGATTTCCCTCTTCCCAATGCTTTAGCAGAAAGGCTAATTATGTCCAAATTACATAATCAGCCTGCGAGAACAGATCGTCCAAAGAAATGTGTGGTGGTACCTGTACCCCGGGCCCAGGCAAGGATAGGTTCATGCTCGCAGCAGCCCAGGATGTCCAGGGGAGTCACAAATGTTCACCTGAATCCTGCCATGGCTTTAAGAAATTCATTTCTGGGGTCATTTCTCCCCTACCACAGAAATCTACTTAAAATTTAACAACGTTTTTGTTATCAGGTCTGTGTGTATGCTCGGCTGTCCTCTCTGCCTGGAAGACATTAATTGTATAATCAAATGACCCATATTTTTAAAGTGTTCTAATTAGTTTTTCTTCCAAGGGAAATATGTTTCTTGAATAGTTACGTGGAAGCACTTTGGTTGATTTAATAAACTATCATTAATGCATTGTGCTGATTGTGTGTTTTTTTTCTTTAGTGCAATAAAAAACAGAAAATAGCTCCAAAGTATTTCTTGTCTGGCTGCCTATAGGTGTTGTGGACAAAGCTAAAATTCCATCTTTGCCATGTAAAATCAGTCATATGCAATATGTTATTAATTGAATGTTTAAGCACAAATGCCACCTCAATTTTACCAGGTTGGTACTGATGTAAAAATGTAATCTTTGTCTAGATATACCAAAATATCTAGAATACTGAAATATTAGAATAGTGAAATATTTCTGGAAACTTAAAGATTCCATGGACTTCCCCCCTTTCTCACCAAATCTCTCTTCCTCGATTATGGACATGGTGGCAAGGCCCCTGTGTGTGAATGTGTCTCCCTCTAGCTGACATTACATCCATGTTTTTGTGACAGTTATCCAAAATACAGCACGTTTGTTGTCCGACTGCTCCAGCCAATCTAATGTACCTGTTACTACAACATCGAGCGTCTGGGGTACGTCTGACATCTCCCACTGACCACACAAATGACATAAGGAAATAACTCTGAGGTTCAGAGCAGCAATGTACATCATGTCTAAACCTTCACGTATAACAGGTTTACTATGTAAGAGGGCTCTCACTTCAACAGTGAGAAGAATGCAGCGTGTTTTGAACACCACAGCCTGCTTTATTTCACAAACCACCCTATCGTAATTGAATGCCGGGCCTTTGATGTGCTTCACTGATAAAAAAATCATGTTGTGATATCATCTGGGAAGTTATGCCGGCGCGTATCATTAAAAGGACTTGTCAGAGTGCTGTTTTATAATGATGGTACGTTCGTGGTCAGCAGCGAATTAGTCACTGGCAGAACCAGGAGTGGAAGCAAATAACCAAATCTTCCATCCTTTGTTCTGTGCGTGAGTCACAGCTACTCCCTGCCCTCAAATACATCATGAACATCACAAAAACCAAGATGCAACCCTATCTGCCTATCTACTATCAGCAGCAATGTTACAATTTGCCCAATACAATTCCTGTGGATAAACACTGGTAGCAACTATATGAGACGGATGGGACAAACAATCTACAGCCAAATAGTACAAAATGTAGTTAAAAAGAAAATGTGTTTCCTTGAATAAAATAAAAATCCTCCTGTGCACAAAATGGGATATATTACCACATATCACAGCCTCATGTTTCTTTATTATGCGCTGCTAACATTGCCAAATTACTGAAGCTGCTGTTGCGCGTGGGAGGTGTTAAAACCTTTTTTTAGATAGGGATAATTGAATCGACTAAAGGATGTTGATGGTTTCATTTTCAGTAGATTTTCTTTAGTATTTTTGATAATATTTTTGGTGTGGAAGGAATAATGTCTAGCAGACCAAGCAAATTGCCAGAGGGATGTTAAAGGTCTTCAACCTAACTGTGAATAAAGCCCCACAAGTTTTGCAATTTTCTCAAGGAAATTGCCTAAAGTATATTTAAAGCAATCAATAAAAGAAACCTGTTTGAGTCGGATATTTTTCCCTTATTATCTATCTTCCACTTCAAAGTAGGTTTAGAACAGCACTCCTTGATCTCCCACAAATGCTTCACCTTGCACATACCCTTGAAAACAAGGCAGCACATTTTGAGCACTGGCTGAAAATTCAGGCTACATTCACTTAAAAAAAGTGAGTTAAATAATGATTCAGGGGTTCTTAGCATGACATTCTTTTGGGAAATATTTCAGATTTGAATTTGCATCTGTCACTAATGTGCAAATTTCATTTCTGTTGACTCAGAAATACGCACCGTATTCTGGTGGGCCTGATCTGGGATAGCGCTACCTACTTCTGTCTTCAAACAAATGATCTTAACATGAAGACAAGGAGTTGGATCATAATTCTAAATTTATCTTATTCAATTAATTCTATTCCAGTCAGTTGAACTTTACTATTTTATTTATTAAATCAGATCCATTTCACTTTAGTCCACTGAACTATCCTATGGAATTAATCAGATGAAAGAATTTACTTTCTGTGAAAATATTAAAGTACCTTCTCAAAAAGACAGAAGATGTACCAACATCAGTACAAGTTTCTTATCAACCGGCTTCCATTCTGGCTTAGAAGAACTACAGTCCAAAGTGGGTAATTTTCTTTTTCTGTGCATTGGACTGATGATGTTGCCAACCAAAATATCAATTAATGCCAATTTTTATGCTGCAGACCACTGTCTAACTGGACTAAAGGACAAATCTGTAGTAACACATCTGTATCCTAGGCTTCCTATAGAACTTCTCATCCAGTGTTTAAGAGAAAGATTATGTGCGTCTATTTTCCCCTCAGGAAGAATGAGGGGAGATTTAGCTAAGTAATTTTCATTAGCACAAAAGAAAATGCAAAATGATGACCCTTCATGTAAAGAAGTTGTTGCAGAACTGTGAAAGCTCTGTTAAAAAAGTCTTTGCTATTCTATCCTACTTATTTTCTATTCTATCCTATTTTTAGTAAATTCTAAACTGTGTTCTCAGTTAAATTTTGTTCCAGATGCAGCAAAACAGTTTTGAATACAGTAAGAAAGTATTTAACCACACGAATGTCTGACACAGTACTCATCTAAATACACATTATATCTGTGCTAAGATAAAAAGAAAAAAAAGCAAAACATAAAGATTATTCTCACAAACAGACCAAGTAAGATGCAACAGACCAAACGATGCGGCTTCAATTCGGTCCTCCCTTAAGCAGAACTTCCATTAAGGCAGTAGTTGTTGAAGCTGTTCAACAACTCCCAAAAACTTGTCCCGTTTGAGACTACTTGAATAAGCACGTGTTATTGCTTATGACCTCAGGTGGTTTTACGTTGTAGATGTAATACAACAAGAACAGAATTTTAGCTCAAAGTACAAGAATTCAGCAAAATTATCACTGCTTTTTTGACAACAAATGATCTAGCCACAGGCTGAAGGGAATGGTCCTGTAACTACTCATGTTTCATGTGGTGACTCCAGGTGACCCTGTTTGAGCAGAGGGGTTGGACAAGATTGATTTCCAGAGGCCCATTTCTAGCCTCAACCATTCCACAGTGCTGTGAAACCAGGGTGCTATTGGTGCAAAACACTGTTCAAGAAAGTTGGTCAAAAAGGCAATATCTCAGTTTTTGGTCCTCCAGATGGCGTGGATCTTCACAAATTCTTTCAATGAGAGGAGGCAAAGAATTCCATAGAAGATATAAAATGATCTGCATGTCCACCTAAAAAGTAATTAAAAGTAAAAAGTGCTTCAAGCTAAACTGCACCTAAAAGAAAAACCGCGAATCAAGATTTAAAAGAAGGCATAGTTTGCTGAAGCACTGGCAGGGAAGAAGGGATATATCTTGGTTAGAAATTCTGATGCTTTGGATCTTATTTATTTCTTTTATAATGATGACTGTTGCCTCCTGGAGCACTGAAATTTTAGCATGACCACCTATCTGGAAGTATTAGGCCAAGATAAGTGAAGATCAATCTAAACAAATCAAACAGGATCAAGAAGAATCTTGCCAACTGTGGAACAACACAGACATGTGCAAGGAAATCAATATTAGAGCAAGGAACACAGATCAATATATCTAGCAAGTCTGCACAAGCAAACATAACGTTTGATATTTTCATTCATTTTTAATAGTTAGGGGTCCAAACCACGAAATTCAGAAATTACTCATGTTTTTTAGACCTTATGGAGAATATAAATCCCAGGCTTTTATTGCATCCAACTCTTATTATTTTAAATATATATATAAACAAGAAGAAGTATTTGATGAAGGCAGTAATTGGACATAAATTTCTACGGTATTTCATAATCAGAAGAGAAGATGAAAGTATTATGCAAAAAGGTTCAAAGGAAAGTTATTATAATGGAAGCAAAGAAAACCAACAAGAAAGTTCAATGCCCCAGACAAAGAACAACTTGCTAAAGAAAAACTGCAGACACATGTTAAAAACTCTGCCATTATTAAAGGAGTGTCTCATTTTAAAAGTTTACGTATTAATTTTAACTAGTTACTTACAAAAACAACAGACTGAAACAGCTTATTTGCTTTACCACTGCAGTCTGGGAGTCTAAAGATCACCCAGGAATCAAAGGCCTTTCATCCTACAGAATCCCTTCTTGATCTTTTTAATACAACTAATCCAGCAGATACAAAACTATTAAAAAGGTTTCTAGTCTTACAGATGAACTTGCTCTGATGCTACTATCAGCTATTTGGGATTGGACTAGGTGATCTCCAAAGATCCCTCTCAGCCTTAACCATTCCCTGAGATTATGAACCTCAGACAGATATGAAGGCAGTGAAAGCTTCGGTGAGAGTCATATTAAGTGCGACTGGGTTTCCAGCCCCAAAATAACAACTCAACGAGCTCAGCTCACTGTGTGGAAAACCCTTCCCCTCCACCACTCATCACAGCATCGTAGCAGTATCTGCATGTCCTCCAGCTATACATTTTCTCCAATCTAAGAAAGAAATACACCTTCCAAAACAAACAAAAACGTTAATTGATACAGATAACCGGTACTTTGCTATCTAAGTATTTAATGCACCAATCAATAAATGTACCCGAGTAGGATGTTTATGGCATATCAGATATCATAGAATCTAAATGACTTCTGAGTAGTACCAAGGGGATTGATGATAAATTTTTATTTTTGGATTTATGAATCCACATATACTGAGTATGTAGGAACAAGGAGTGTCTGATAATCTGCATTTTTTTTAATTCCCCAAAGCAAGGTAATTGAACACGTAGGAAATTTAATCTAAAAAAATCAACCTCAAGACAAGGACTGTAAGATTTTCAGCATCTCTTATTCAGATCTGTATGACAGCAAAAAGATGTGCTGTTTCAATGCTGTAAACTCCATAAGATACAGCACCTATCACTGTAGCCTGACAAAAAGCACATTAAGAAATTAAACTAGATGAGAAAACAGATAACTTCCAGAATTTTCATTCCTCTGCAAGCACACATAATCAAATCCAAGTAATTTTGAGTATCCAGATGTTTTAGAACATTAGGATTCTTTATAACTGGAGGCAGGTGATGCATATACTGGAATAAGTCATAAAGGCTTGAAACCATTTCCACTTGAAACTTCATTTTAACATAGGCACAAACTAGAAATTTTATAGATAACGAAGCTTCTTTAAATCTTAATGAACCCTGGTGATTAAGCATATAAAATTTGATTTCATTTTGTGTTATGAGTATGTGCCATCAGCAGGTGTCCGGAAAGCTGGAAAACTGCCCAACAAGCTGACAACTTCTGAATTGACCTTGTGCAAACAACACTCAGGTCATCTATTTATAAAGTCATACCACAGGTGTAGCCTACAGTGAGACATTACAATGAGCAGCAGTTAACAAAGCTATTCTCATTTTGATGCGACCCAGGTGCTCAGTTGTGCCTTATCAGTCTTTTTAGCTAGTGCTCTCAATTAGAAATTCAGAGGGGCTGGCATCTGGCACAGGAAGACGACAGAAATTAGCATTGCTATT